GCCACAACGCCCGGCTATTTTTTGGTTGCAGCCATCATCGTTGTTTGGCGGGTCCGGGCTGGGGATTCGAACCCGACAGCTTAGGTGTACGTGGCTGGCGCCTTAGCCGGTTGAGCTATAGGCGCCGAGCCTGTCATCTCTCTTTAAAGTTGGAAAAATTAAGACTGTGGATTTTAATTCATGTAAAAATGGAGTTACTGCCAGGCATGGTGGCTCATGCCTGTGATCCTAATACTCTAGGAGGCTGAGGCAGGAGGCTTGCTAGAGGTCAAGAATTTGAGACCAGCCTGAGCAAGCGTGAAACCCCATCTCTAGTAAAAATAGAAAAGCTAGCCAGACATTGTGGTGGGCGCCTATAGTCTCAGCTACTCAGGACACTGACAGAAGGGTCACTTGAGGTTGCTGTGAGCTATGACGCCATGGCACTCTAGCCAAGGGCAAGAGTGAGACTCTGTCTTAAAAAAAAATTTTTTTTTAATTTAGGCGGCACCTGTAGCTCAGTGGGTAGGGCACCAGCCACATACATACACCGATGCTGGTGGATTCAAACCCAATTCGGGCCTGCTAAAATCAACAATGACAACTGCAACAACAAAAAAAAAATAACCAGGCATTGGGGTAGGCACCTATAGTCCCAGCTGCTTGGGAGGCTGAGGCAAGAGAATCGCTTAAGCCCAAGAGTTTGAAGTTGCTGTGAACTGTGATACCACAGCACTCTACCAAGGGCAACGTAGTGAGACTCTGTCTCAAAAAAAAAAAAAAATTTAAATTTAAAAATGATGGAGTTATTGAACCATCCTGGACCCACCAGTCCCACCTAAGATGATTGCTTGGTGTGGAAGCCAGGTGAGAGCAGCACCGTCTCCCGGAAGCCTCCTTGCCGCACCTGCTACACCTGACAGGCAGCTCCGCCCCTTCCCTCAGCTTTGGGTACTGGGCACCCAGGTGATTCTGATCTCTCTCTGTTCTCTCGGAATCACCCTCCCCGGTTCATGGTTGGGTGTGAGCCACTGGAGGGTGTGGCTGTGTCTATTGTGCAGGCCTCTGCCCTCAGACTGCCCTTTGAGAGGAATGTCCTCAGTTGTTGCAGGACCTACCCAGCGAGACCTGTGTACCTTGCTTAGTTTTCCTACAGGTCCCATTATTAAGCCTTTCTTGGTTCATAAGCCAGAGAGGGATGATTGGCTGTCGCCTGTGGCTTGTGCAGGTATTTGGTTACATTAGCACCGTTGGTCACATGTCTTGAGTGACTCCTTCAGAAACCTATTGAACAGCCCTGAGACAGCCCTAAGACACTGCGTGGGAAGAGCCTCTGTGGCCAACCCCCTCTGCCCACTGTGTGTCTCCTTTGTTCTAACGAGTATATGAATTGCTTTCACCTCTGGACACAAATAGTAACTAATTGTTTGAATTGTGAGAGTTTGATTGAATTGACAAAAGGGCGATTTCTGTATTTAAAATTGCTATGTGTTTCTTATTCCAGTTCTTTTGTTCTAAGAAATAGTCTCAATTGAGGGCTGAATTTTGGTTTCTTTAAAGAATACTGAACTAATCTTTGTTTTGTTTTCTTTCTATAACTTCAAAAATATGACCTGCCCTCTGCAGGACTCCCTAGCAGAAGTTGAGGAGAAATACAAGAAGGCCATGGTTTCCAACGCTCAGCTAGACAATGAGAAGACAAACTTCATGTACCAGGTCGATACCCTCAAAGATATGTTGCTGGAACTTGAAGAACAACTGGCTGAATCGAGGCGACAGTATGACGAGAAAAACAAAGTAAGCCTCAGTATTGTAGAGAGTGATGGATTATATGTGTATGTGTACATGTGTATATATGATGTGTAATTTATATTATTTATGTATTTTTAAGTAATCATTCTCCCCTTAATCCAGGAAACCCAAACATAGGAGAATAAGAATAACATGGTCTTTGAAATATTGATACATGTAATTTCAACATGTGAACTAGAGGCAGTTTTACATGTACGATTAAGTTATAACCTTAAAAAATATGCCTATGAAAGCACCAGCATTCTTGACTATGGCACAATCAGATGCTTCAAGATTTTCTGGTTAATACATATTTCCTGATTTTTATTTTGTTCTCTCTTAACACCATAGAGAAATAGTTATGAGTATCAACAATTTTAAGAAAATTATATTCATTTCTTTTCTGCTGATTAGGAAAAGACACAGTTACTCCATTTAAGAATTAAAGACCTCGGGGCAGCGCCTGTACCTCAGTGGGCAGAGCACTGGCCCCTTATACCGAGAGTGGCGGGTTCGAATCCAGCCCCAGCCAAACTGCAACAAAAAATAGCCGGGCATTGTGGCAGGTGCCTGTAGTCCCAGCTACTCGAGAGCCTGAGGCAAGAGAATCATCTAAGCCCAGTGGAGGTTGCTGTGAGCTGTGCTGCCACGGCACTCTACTGAGGTCAATTAAAAAAAAAAGAAGAATTAAAGAGCTCACTAAGCTCAGAGAAGTGTAGAGTCTCATTTGAGCTTTCAGTAAGAGCCACTGCAACTCAGGTTTTGCCTGTGTCTGATGTTGACCTCCAGCAGGAGCGTTGTGGGGCGATGAACCGCAGAGGACTGGGTCGGTGAAGGCTGGGCTTTGTGGTCCTTTATGAGGGAGGGAGCAAAGAGTACTTGTTTGTCATATTGTTAGGCATTAACTTGGTTTATCAAACCCTAGAATAAAAATTTTAAAAACCTGGAATAGTGTCCAGTTTCTCAGAAACTGGTATAGTTCTGATATAGACAGAAAATTTAATGTGCAAGTGTCATTCTCTTTTTAAAGAGCCATGTCCTCTAAATCCCAAGGGATAAAACCAAGTACCCTTAACAACCAGAGCCTCCTTCTTTGACTGCTCTGTAATTGAGTTAGAAGCTAAAGAAGAATTTCACTCATGCAGCTCCTGGTAGCTGAGCTCTGGAGGAGAGGAGGAACTTCTCAAGAACCTCTGTGTCATGTGGAGTGTGGATGCTGGGAGCCCCAGCTGAGCCTGCCTGGGCAGGAGAGCACCACAGAGCACTCACACTCCTGCCCCTCCCAGAATGCCATGGCTAGGTGTCATTACGTAGACTGAGAACCCTCAAAGCTAATTCCACAGAAGCTGGGGAGGACTAGAATGTTATCCCCAGGTGGGGCCAGGCCAAGCTCCCCAGGAAGGCCCTTGTCACAGCCAGGAGGGCACCAGCCACTCTAGGCCAGAGGAAGTGGGGGGGAGATACTCAGGCCAGATCTCTTCTCAGGTAACCTGCCTAACAGATCTGGGGGAAAGGTCGCTTGCCACCCCGTAAACTGCCAGCAGAGTTAGTTGGGTCCCACATTATCACTAGGGATTGTGCTGCTGTGACACAGCAAAGGCAGAAAAGCCACATGACCATGTTCCAGAAGGGACTTCGTAGAGGGCAGGCTGGAATGGGCCAGCAGCTTTGTGTTTCGAGCCCTTTGTTAACTTTCCCCTGAGCTGGCCACCCGCTGCTAGTGAGAGACACCGGCCAGGCCAGCGTAAGCAGGAGGTGTCTCCCCTTTATCCCAAAGAGTCTCTCTTGTCACCTCTCACATCAGAGATGCCAGGGCTTTCAGCACAGTGCTGTGGGCGGCAGCAGACCCCCAGGGCTGTGCTTTACTAGGGAGAATCAGGACATTTGGCTGTGGCATCAGCTCCCCAGATTAATTTTATAGTAAGTTATCTGGCATCTTCTACAAAGTCTGGAGAAACGGATTTGTGTTGTTCCAAAAAAAAAAAAAACAAAACCTTGAAAATTGTGATGGCATAGTAGCAGGTAATTTGTTCAAAGGGAAATGCAAACTGTGAGAACATGAACTAATATGCCGGAAGAATGCGATTCTGTGGCCTGAGTACGGTTTTCCTCCTTTATAGGAATTTGAGAGGGAAAAACATGCCCACAGCATCCTGCAGTTTCAATTTGCCGAAGTGAAAGAGGCCCTGAAGCAGAGAGAAGAAATGCTTGAGGTGGGACCTTCTCCTGTTGTCTTTTTGTTTTTGTTTTTAACTTTGGAACAATTTGTTGGCTTATGACCATCTTAGGCTGCCGTAACAAAATACCGTAGGCTTCAAGGTTCAAACCACAGAAATTTATTTTCTCACAGCTCTGGAGATCAAGGTGGAGTTCTGGTGAGGCCTGGCCTCCTGGCCTCCAGACAGCCACCTTCTTGCTGTGGAGATCAAGGTGGAGTTCTGGTGAGGCCTGGCCTCCTGGCCTCCAGACAGCCACCTTCTTGCTATGGAGATCAAGGTGGAGTTCTGGTGAGGCCTGGCCTCCTCGTCTCCAGACAGCCACCTTCTTGCTGTGCCCTTGCATGGTAGAGTGCGATCAAGCTCCTTGGTGTCTGTAAAAGGACACTGATCCCATTAGGTCAGAGCCCCACCCTTATGACCTCATTTAACCCTAATTATCTCTTGAAGCCATTGTCTCCAAATACAGTCTCACTGGGCACTAGGGCTTCAACATATGACTTGGTTCTGGGGATGACGCAGGAACAATTTAATCTATTCTATAGCAATATGTAAAGTTACCAGTTCTATGAAGATTGAGAGTTTTAAACTTTCTTTCCTGGCCTGGTTTAAGAAAAATAGATCCTCTCCTAGGTGAAAACCTTTATTCTTTGGTGGTCTGACATTCGTCTTGGGAGATCTGATGGACAAAATAATTTCAATACCCCACAAAGATGTCCACGTCTTAATCCCTGGAAACTGTAAATATATTAACCTCACACAGTAAAGGGACTTTGCAGATTAAATTAAAGACCTTGAGAGGGGGAGGTTATCCAGATTATCTGGGTAGGCCTGATGTTGTCACAGGGGTCCTTAGAAGAGGAAGAGAGGTCACTGGAGGATGTAGGGCACGTGGCAAAGGAAGCAGAGTTTAGGGTGAATAAGGAAGGGACCAGGAGCACAGATGCGGCCACGTCTCCCGAGGAAAGCCTCCAGAAGGCTTGCTCTTAGCCTTAAGACTCGTTTTGGACTTTCGACCTCCAGAACTGTAAAAGAATACGTTTGTGTTGTTTTAAGCCACTGAATTAGGTATAATCTGTTAGAGTGTTACTAGGAAACTAACAAGATTGGTTTTTAATTTTTTAATTCAGTGAACACTTTAGTGGGTGCCTTTAGAGTGAGAATTTCACCCAAGCAGTTTTCTTCCGGCACCCCTTGAAGCTGGGAGTAGGACAAGGAAACGGCCCCCAAATGCTGGCAGTGCGTTCAGGGGTGAGGTGGCCATCACAGCTCTCGGGGTGTCCAGTACTGAGGCTTTTCCTCCTGTTTAACCCTTCATCTTCTTTCTATCTGTTCCTTTCCTCAGGAAATCCGACAGCTACAGCAGAAACAGGCGAGTTATATCAGGGAGATTTCTGACCTTCAGGAAACAGTAGAGTGGAAAGACAAAAAGATAGGGGTAGGAATCTAAGTCTTTGAAAACCTATTCCACGGGAAGGCTGCTTAGCAAATAGAGCTTTGGCACAATTTTGGTTTGTAGAATTGCTTGTCTGAGTATGCATGCAACCCTCGTGTAACACAGAAGTTTATAAATTTAATTAACTAGAATTGATCTAATCTGTGTGATTCTGTTAAGTAGTAAATACACTAACTATCCACATTATGTGAACTCTGAATTTGATGCCGACTTCTGGCATAGAGGTTCTGGCCTCTCCTGCACCTCATTCATACAGGGAGCAAGGCAGACGCCCTGGGGCGAGTCTGAGGTGGGGAGGGTCAGACTTCTTGGAATTCCCTGCCTGGTAGTGCCTCGATGTTTTATCAAAGGAGTTCTAGAAAGCTGCAAGGTATCAGAGGCTGTGCCCAAAGTATTCCCACCTTGAAATTTCCCTCTGGGAAGGCCTCCTACAGCCCTTCCCCTCCACGAGAAAAGAAGAGGCAACCCACCTAAATTTAGAATCGAAGAATAGGAAGAATGGAACCCCACAAAGTCACCGCTATGATTCATAGTGACAAATGATTTCCCCAAAATAGCAGCTCATCCACATAGCCGCTAAAGACCCAGAGACGTTTGCGCATGCGTCAGCGCCGACTCAGGCACGCGGTGGCCGTGTCTCCGCTTTGCTGGGATCATGTGCATGCTTGTGTGTGTGTTTGCTTTGGGACCACTTTATGTTAATCAGTGACAACAGATGCCAAGAACAATGCATAAAAACAATTAAATTCCTGAGACAGTTGTCCTGTGGGGTTCTTAGGCATTCCTTCTTGTTATGTATTGATCTCTGTGTTAAATGGGTCCATCCACTGCTTGAGCTAACCCTCTAACGCAGCGCTGCAGACTGAGATGGAAAGTGGTGCAGACAAGGTGACCGGGGACCCGGTGCCCTGTCTGTGTGACCCGCAGCACTGATATCTCCGGGAAGCATGAACCGGAGTATTTCTTGGACCGCGTGCACTAAATGAAAAGCTTAGAGCTCGCGTTGTGTTTGTGCCTTTGAGCAGAGTCTCTCGCTATCTTAAGTCTGTTAGTGTTTGGGGAGAGAAGCCTTCTTGTTCCTGCCTCTCACGTCACCTTCTCATCTGCACGACTTCTTTCTCTTTGCTCTGCCGCACACTCAGGCATTAGAGAGGCAGAAAGAGTTCTTTGATTCCATAAGGAGCGAACGAGACGATCTTAGAGAAGAAGTAGTCATGCTGAAAGAGGAATTCAAGGTATGACACTAAAGTCCAGTTTAAAACAGAAAATCCAGGTGGCAACAGCAAATTCTGGGATTCTCTGAATGTGGGTGTGTACTTCTGCCAACTAATTTTATGTCATTGATTTTGCTTCTGTTACTAAACTCAAATCTTAAGTAAACTGACACTGATGAGACAGGTGAAGCAAATGTAAATTCATTGGCTGTGCCCATGGCCTGGAGATGCTCACGGGGATAGCTGATTTGCTGATCTTGAGCACAGCTCTGATTTCTAAGAGTTTTTTGATTTATTACCTCAACTTTGTCTCATTCTCATTAATATATTCTCTAGGATATTATTCAGAATTAGATAACTTATTTGCTTTATATTAACAGAAAGGCTCAAGTGTAAGGACTTCTCCAGCTAAACAGGGTCTTTGGTTGTTGGTGTGGGCAAGGCCCATGCTAATGAGGCCCAGAGACGCACTGAGTTCAGGAGGAGGAAAGTTCCATGTCCTGTGTAGACCACGTCAAGGGGTCTTCTCTGCTGGCTTGACTCAGTAAAAAACCAGGGGGCCACACTCTGGGTGGGCTCTCAGAACACCATAAGAGCTGTTGTTGAGAGAGAAGGATGAATAGTTCTGGAATAGTCATGGAAGCATATCAGTATCTGCTGGCTGTCTTCTGGGGTCACAGCCAGCACAGTAAACCAGCGGGGTGCAGGACACTGCTTGTGATTACTAGAGTGGGGACTCCCCAAGCAAGAGGGAAAGAGCTGTGGGCAGCAGGAGGCAGCGGGCGAAGGCTCCACAGAGCTGTGGCGTGCAGCTGTTTTTGAAGTGCTTCACTATACAGTGAGCAGAATCTGCATTTCTTCTGACTATGCCAAACATCCTAGCCACCTCCTAATTTCCTCTTTAACATAAGTTCCTTCATTCCTTTCAGAACACATACATACTTCTTGTTTTAATCTCACTCTCTTTTTAAAGAATGCAGACCAGGGTTTTATCAGTAAAGGTCATTTTACAGCAATTCATTGATGTTCCACTTTGTGGCAGCCCACAGGCCATCACCCCTGGCTAAAAACGACTTGGCACTTCTGTCTCTGCAGAGTCATTATTTACTTCAGGAAAAATAGTTTCCTTTGTTATTATTAGTAATAAAACAAGAATTTGACCTGATACCACTGAGTATTACGGCGAGCCTATTTTTGTCCCCAGAAACATGGAATAATCCTAAATTCAGAAATAGCTACCAATGGAGAGACCACAGACACTCCAAATAATGTTGGCTACCACGGTCCTACCAAGATGACAAAGGAGGAGTTAAATGCCCTCAGGTCGACAGGGGAGGGGACACTAGGTAAGTATTTGTTTTCCTCTGGGTCCTTTCATCTTTCACCCCAGCACTGATTCACCTTCCATGCATTACTGGAGTTGAAGTAATCACCACTGATCGATTAACAGTCACGCAGCATGCCATCTGTCTCCTCGCTCCGTAGCGGTGTGCTGGCCGCGAGGTGTGGCCGCCCGGTGCTGTCTGACGTGCGTCTCTGTGCAGTGCTCACCACCCCTGGCTCGAGTTTCTTTTGCTTCCCAAAGCTACCAAGTGAGACAGTGAATGCACGGAAAACTGTCTCAAAATTAAGTGATGATGTTGAGTACTATTTGGTCGTCCTCAGATATGGAGCAGGTGTGGCTTTTAACTTACTCTGTTACAGAATTATCAAAAGATGAGATCAGTAAAAGCTGTAAAGTAAGTTGTTGACCACATTTGGTTGTGAGGGTGCGAGGTGGCAGGGATAGCAGGTGTGCTGGTGACAGGGCACATCTTCCTTGTCTTCCTCAAGCCAGCCCTGTAGGTGGACAGGTGGCCATGGGCAGTGAGAGTGGCCATGCTAAGGAGATGCCTTCCCAGCAGGAGTCTGAATGCCTACCTTTGTCAGAGGTGGCCCCTCATTTATATCCCTCAAGGAATATAAAATTGGGGAATACAACAGACTGTAGGAATATTTTATACAATTTTCAATAATCTGCAAAACCTCACTGATGAATATTTGTCATCATATTTGGCTTTGGGGAAACCTTCGGAGTTTTGCACACAGTGGCAAGTGGAGGCTGCACACATGGCCCGTCTGTCACTGGGGACCAGTTGTGTTCCAGCTTTTTACAGTGAGGCTAAAATGAGGTCAGGGTCCATGACTTTTCATTATGATTGAGAAGCCTTCATCTTACTGCTTTTTACTATGGAAATATGGAAACCCGTAGCTTCCCAGGGAGGTAACTCATTTTTTTATCTTGATGGCTATTAAAGAAACACGACTCTTATAAATTGGGTAAAAGTTATTGAAAGGTAAATTAATTTCTGTCATATCTTTATATTAGCTACCAATAGCTAGGAATTTGATCATGCTGCTCTTACTGAAATATACATTTCAAAATCTTTGATAGCCATTGTGAAATGCTTAAAGAACCAGAAATATCAATCTTTTAAGTGGTTTCCAAATGTTTTACGATCATATATCCTATCAGTGAAGAATTGTGGGAACTTCTGTGTATATATTTATTTATTTTTAATTTAGATATGTATACTATCTTGTTAGTATAAAATGTACATTATAACATACATGCATAGAAATTGTTAAAGAGTGAAGTAAAACTAACTTTCTGTACAAGTCCTAATATTCAGCTTGGTGCCTATGGTTCAGGCGGCTAAGGCGCCAGCCATATATACCTAAGGTGGTGGGTTCAAATCCAGCCCGGGCCCACCAAACAACAATGATGGCTGCAACCAAAAAATGGCCAGGCATTATGGCGGGTGCCTGTGGTCCCAGCTACTTGGGAGGCTGAAGCAGGAGACTCGCTTGAGCCCAGGAGTTGGAGGTTGCTGTGAGCTGTGATGCCACAGCACTCTACCCAGGGGGACAGCTTGAGGCTCTGTCTTAAAAAAAAAAAAAAAAAAAAGTCCTAATATTCCCCACACTTTCTCTGGGGTAAGTGCACTCACCGTGGAAACCACTGATTATAAAATTATCTGGCCTTGACTGTCAGTAACATAGTTTCATATCTAATAGGCTAGGATTTTGTTTCAAGAATCCAAAATATAGTGGTTCATTCTGAAGCAGTAATGTGTTCTTTAGCTGATAAATAGTTTACTATTTAAGCAAGTGGTCACTTGATGTTAAGCACTTGCCTCCTGCCAGAACTCTGCACAGCCCCTAGGGAGGGTGGCAGGGCAGACACAGGCTGTTTTCTTAGGAAGACAGGGGTTGGGTGTTAGAAATTAGATTTCTGTTCACCATTTGAGCTACTTTAAAAGTGTCTCTCTTGAGATTGACCTTGAAGCTGTGTTTTAAAAAGTGAACAGAATGTTCTTTTAAAAAATTATTTGAAATCTGCTTTTAGAGCTGCAAGATAGGCAGGGCAGTTCAGTGCTGAGAAGTCTGGGTTGCAAGGTTGTGCATTTAGAGATGAGGATGGGGAACACTGAACCTTCCGTCTGTTCCTAAACTCATTATTGTGGATTGTTTGGCTGCTCAGAGGCCTTTTTGTTGGTTAAAACGTAACTTCACCTTTAAAAAATCCATTCACATGAGATGGCACCAGCAGCCGCTCCCGCCTTCAAGCTGGTGGCAGTGACCTTGGCTGATCAAAACCTCACTGATGCAATCGCTGCTGTGCCGCACAGAACTGGCCAAGGCTTCTGTTTCACGTGATTCTTGATGCCGCCCTCTCTTCAGGAGTAGGGTGGGGTGGGATTTAGAACATGTGTTTACATTTTAATATATACTAAGTGGTTACCACATCATGGGGTCCCTTCAATTTTCTTAATGATCTTTTAGGAAGAGCCAATGAAGTGGAGGTGAAAAATGAAATTGTGGACAATGTGGGGAAAAGAACAATCTTGCAGAATTCTGAGAAAGAACAGCACAAAGAGGACACAGTAAAGGATTGTGTGGACACAGAGGCATCCCACCCTGGTGACAGAGCTGAGGACCAGAAAGTCTCTGATGAAGACAAAGCCCCATCCCTAGGACGGTTAGCAGGTGCTAAAGATGAGGAACAGGTTCAAAGCCAAATTCTAGAGAGCATGTCTTGCCTTGAAAGTACAGAGCAGGTTGAATCCAATGAGGTCATTAGTGGGGCAAGTGATGGGCCTGGAGCTTCCCTTAGCAGTTTGAGTGAGTTAGATAGTGAAGCCCCAGGCTCTGGGAGTGGGCAGGACAGTTGTCATGCCTTAGATATCAAAAGCCAAAGTAAAGAATCTGTAGAAAAGCAGGAAAAAGAAAAGCAAGAGGATTTTAGAACCACTTTGGAAGAAGTTAGCTCAGAACCACGTCAGGAATCGGTTCCTTTGCAAATACCTGATGTCCACAAGGCGGGCAGCATAGACGCTGGCGGGCAAAGCAGGACCCACACAGAGAATGTGGAAGAGGGAGGGGAAACTCACACTGGGGAGCAGGTGGGCACAGTGGCCTCATATCCCCCCAATAGTGATGACACAGTGGGTCAAGATGAAAAGTGTGCAGTAGCTGCCCCTGAAAAGTTGGGTCCAAGCATAGGACATAGTTTGGAGACAGAAGTCACCAACCAGAAAGTAGCTGAGCCCAGAGGGTCCGCAGTTCAGAATACAGAAGCAGATAGGGAGGACAATGAAGAAACAGGGTCAAAGGATGAGAAACCAGTTGAGACTCATGTCCAAACCATTCCTGGTTCTCCAGCAGCCAAGAGTGGTCATCCAGAAGCAGCAGGTCCAAGTGTGGTAGAGCAGGTTCAGTCCAATGAGGTCCAATGTGCTGAAAGTGAACCCCTAGACACGAACGAGCCCAGTGAAGAGAAGAGCGGCCAGCAAGGAGAAGCACTGGATTCGCCACAGAAGAGGGCAAAGAACAAGAAAAAGAAAAACAAGAAGAAAAAATCACCAGCTCCTGTAGAAACCCTTAAAGATGTTAAGAAAGAGTTAACGTATCAGGACACAGATTTAAGTGAAGTTAAGGAAGAAGAGCAGGTAAAATTTACTGCTGAAAAGTCAGCGATGGAAGCTCAAGAGGAGGTGGTTAACAGTCCCAAACAGAAAGGTGTAGCAGAAAGTGTTGAAAATATTGATTGTCCAGAAGACCCTAACACTGATTTGGATGGAAACCCTAACCAAGAGGTTGGAAAAACAGAAGCAGAGAAAGTCAGAGCTAATGGAGACACATTGAATTTTGAAGATGATACAATTCGATTGTCAGGCACTAGTGTGAATGATAAAGAATTAGAGGAATTAGAGGAAGAAGATGCCACTCGGAGCAGCCCTCCAGAGCCAGAGGAGGAAGCAGTGAGTGGCAGCCCCCTGCGGGGAAGTCCCGCAAGGGAAATTAACGATGTCCTTCAAACAGGAAGTGCAGAGGGGGACGTCCTGCCAGAACATCCAAGTCAGGCAGTCCAGAAGGCTTTAGACAGCATTAGTCTGGAGAGCAAGGACCTCTCAGCACCAGCAGGCGTGTCGGGGGACTTGGATTCAGAAAGCAGAGAGGATACAGAGAGAGGAAATGAGAAGGGCAAAAGCAAAGAAGATTGCACCATGTCCTAAAGGGGCAGACGGGCCCAGGAGGAGGTGGGACACAGACAGGAGCTTCAGGGCCAAGGACGTCGCACAGTAAGTCTGATCACAAGAGACTCTTGTCTTTTGTCACTCCTGCCGATGTGAGTAAAATGTCCCAAGTTGATTTAGCTGCACTGTGTGACAATCATCAGGTTATCTGCCTGTGCTACTGTAAGTTACAGACTGTTCCTCGTAGATTTATATTTAATCATTGAAGTTGTCACCCAGATTGGAAAGACATGCCTGTTATTAGTGTAAGTTCTAATGAGAACATTCCAGTAGTATCAAACAATGATGTGTACTGTTGATACTCTAGCTTAAAATAAAATAAAAATATTTAGCATTTGCCTTAGGTCTACATGAATGTGGATATTCTTGACCAAACATATCAGCTTCTAGTCAAAATGACCAAATAGCATTCTTAGGTTTCTGCATCATGAGTATAATTGGTACTTAACGCCTCCTTCTCATACGTGTGCTGTCATATTTGATGTTAGTACATAAGTACGTTATGAGCTCTCTGGTATTTAAAGGAGGCAAACACCCATATAGCAAATAGGTCACTGAGTGATGAGGTTGGTACCTTAATCTGAAAGCATGAGAGGAGTCTCATTTACCTTTACCTCATGTGAGTCTTTAGCTCAAATCAAAGCATTAGGATCTCATTGTTAATGATCCCTGAAATTGCTTTGTAGGAGATTCTGACTTCACTTCATGCTGACGGTGTGTACTAAATTCAAAGATTTTTTTTATGGAAGTGACGTTTGTTGAAATTTCATTTCCTACTGCAGTATCTGAGCAGGGCAGTCACTAACAGAAATGTCTTAGGACCTCCACATCACTTCTCTTTGTTTGAATGTCTAATCATTACACAAAAGAGCAACATGAGAGGTAACTTCCTGTACAAACTGCTAATTAGACTGTAAGAAGATACTCTTAAGAGTTGAATCACTGTGGGTATCATGGCATAAATACTTTCATTTGCTGTTTCTCATTGTATTATTATTGGAAAACTCTTGTTTTGATCTGCCTGAACAAAAGATATATTTTCTACATAAATAAGCATTTAAAAAATAATTATAAAGGAAGATTAAAGATTGTGAAATATAAAATTACAACAGAACATACGTTGTGAGTGTTGTTGACACTTTATGAGATTGTGGATTCCTATTACTGTTACAAGATGCAATTGAGTGCAAAAAATCAAAACCTCAATAAAAGTTGAGGCAAACTTAAGTGTTACCATGTCATGGAAATAAAGACATTTTATAATTGTACAAGCCTGTGGTTCTACTCTTTGGGCTACTGGAATTCTGAGTCTGTCAGAATGCTACATTGCATGATAACTGTCTTTACGGTTATGTGCTTCTGGGTTGCTAATCCTCACTGGGGTCCTGGGAAAGGCCCAGGCCTCCTGCCCTTGGTCGGTCATGAACGGCCTTCTCTCCTGGCACCAGGCTGGTTCTAGCATGGGGGCATCATCCCTTATGCCATCTCCTGTGATTTGCGGTTCTGCTGAGGAATCCCAGTTGAGAAAGGGCTCAATTTCCTTGCTCTGCTTAAATGTAGAAAGTTTGAAGAGTATGATGAAAACAGCAAAAACTTGACTGCTTAAGTGTCCCTGAAGTAGAGGGAAGTGGAGCTGAGGAAGCTGAGGCTGCTGGAGAAGGATTCTGGGCTCTCCAGGAGGCGGAAGGGCTTTAGGTTACGTCCGCACTTCAGCACAGCTGGGCTCACCCTGGAAGGCAGACAGCTACTCATTTCTACTCATTCCTGCCTCTTAGGAAGGAATTCACCAACCAGAGTCTCGGCATGGTAACATCACCAAACCATTCCAAGTTCTTCCCTTTCTTTCCCATTTTATTCCACAGCCCCTTTCAGGACCCTAAGCTCACTTCACACCCTCGACTCAGGCACCCAAGTTCTAGTTATTCTCAACTCAGTGCAGTTTTGATCACTTTGTATGTGGCAGGCGGTGTGGTGTGAACACAAGGGAAGGTCTCCACTGGGGAGTGGACAGCTGCGAATCAGGATAGGAGCAAAGAAAGAAAAAAGGACTTCTGAACAGCCAAAGCATTTCCTGGTAATTTCAGAGACTTCCTTGTGAGCATCAGTTACTCTGCTCTGAGGGCATCCTGATGTTACAGCCTGGAGCTGTAACTGATACAGTGAAGGGCCGTACATTATCTTGAAAGGAGTCACCTAGACAGAGTCAGTTTAAGGCATAAGGTATAAGGCAATTTAGAAAGGTTTCATGGTCCAAAGATTCAATCTTAGAAAAGAATCAAAAGGGGTACTGCCAGCCATATCCCCAAAGAAACCTGGACGCTGACGTGTCACTATAACATGGAACAGAGAAATGATTGGATATTGTTCATGCCCAAAGCAAGACATGGGTACTGTGCGTACATGTAAAGCTTATTTCAAAGTGTAAGTAGTTATAATTATGGTTGTGTGCAGAAAATAGGGAAAGACATTTTTTTTCAATTGTTTAAGTTCAAAGTTTTATTTTTAGACACCAACTATAGCCAATTAGAAAATGTATAGAGAATTTTTAAAACAGTATTATTAGGGTCCCCCCTCAAAAAAAAGACAACTGGGAATAAATCTAGGAAAGTGTGAGACACTCTGGAGAAAGTTACAAAACATTATTGAAATGCTTCTTGGAGACCTGAAAAGGTGGCCAATTATATTATAGGTAGGAAGGAAGGATTTATAACAAGGATGCTAACTCTCCACAAATTAATTTATAATTTCATATAAATCTAATCAAGATCCAAATAGGACTTTTCGTGAACTATGCTAATTCTAAAATTCACATGTAAGAGAAATAATGCAAGAACAGCCAATATGATTTTGAAAAAGAAAAACAAGGAAGAGAAATGTACATTGAAATACAGGAAAGATAACCTCTTTGCCTCCTTCCTCTGGTAATGGAGGCCTGTTCTCTGTCTACAGTGATATATCCTGCTTTGTAAGGGGAAAGACAGATTTTTGAATTATAGGTTGTTACCATATACAGAGGTCAGAGAGCAGTAAAATTTTTAAAGAGTTTTTAAGAATGAGATGTAGGGTGTTGACTACTTCTTGTAATCCTTAGCATTTGCAGTTAACTGAAGACCTAATGCCCTCAAAGTTTTACTTACCCTGGGATGCTAATTCTGGGGGTTAGTGTTTTCTGCCACTAGACTCTTTTCCTGGAAGGCCTCACTGCACAGGGTGCCGCCACAGCCACAGAGCCAAGGGAACGTGACCGTGGGACCTGTTCCAAATGTCTGGCCCCTCAAGGAAAGGGGGTATGTGTGTGGATCAGAACAGTCCTAGTTCAGAGTGGTAATCACATGCACAGAGAACTTTGTCAGGAGGAACATCCTTCCACTCTTTATACTGCCACTTCTCACGTGTATTTTTCGAGATGAGAATGGCTAGTGGATGATATAAGGACGTATTTCCCGACTATGCAAACCCCTTGGGCCCTGCAAACAGGAGAAACAAGAAGCCGCTGTGCCAGGCCCAGCTCCGCCTTCTGCAGGAGGGAGCTGCTCCCTGCAGGGAGGACAGCCAGGAAGATGAAACCGACCACAGCAATAACCACAGCAATGACGCTCACTCCAAGTGGCAGCCAGGCAACCTGTTTCTCAAGAGGCCTTGGTCTCCCTCAGTCTTCTTTAAATCTCCTTTGTCATCTTTACAAATACGGGGGGAGATGATTCTTCTGGGCAGTGGGAAGAGGAATTAATCCACAGAATTAAAAATATACTCTTGGAAACAGATCATTAGGAATAATCTACTGAACCTCAATCACTGTGCCTTATTTTGCTGTCTGAAAACAGGTGAGAGCCCACCTGTCAGAGCTTGGTGAGGATCGCGCAAAGTGCTTTAAAGGCATGTGCTTCTTGGTGGCTGCAGTCGCTGTGGGTTGGCCTTGCTCTGCCCCAGGACAGACCGGCTAAGACACACGGGCCAAAAGAATGGCCCAGGAACACAGGAGTTCACAGAATCCCAAAACTAGGAATTGGCTACCCCAGTAATTTTCTAGAAGGTCTTACCTCTTTGTCTCCCATTTCATTGGTCTCTAAAATGCATACCAGAAAGTTCGTTACAATTTAATACATAAAAACTAGATTTTTAAAAATATAAACCTTTCACAATTACTAAAAGTAACCTTCAATAGCCGACCAATTTTAGCTTCCCACTATAAAAGAACATCCTGAGTCGGGGACAAGGGGACTTCATCTTTTTTAATGACTTATTTCAAAAAACTGTAATCAGTGTCTTAAAGTGCTGTTGTTTTCATCCGTTTGTAAACTGGGTGCTGCCGCTGGGTGATGAGCCCCACACCGCTCACTGAGGAAGGAGGGCAGCGAGAGGTTGGCAGGACGCATCAGACTCACAGCTTCTGTGACGGGTTCTACTCCACAGTTAGGCTTGTTGGTTTCTAAAGCTGTGAAAGGCAGGACTCCTTTTTACTTTATGCCAAATTATTTTGCTATTTATTTTTTAAATTTTCTTAAAACTACTTAGTTTTCACTTTTTCTCCAATTCTGCTTTAAAATTCCTCTTTAAAACTCTTTAAGAGTTTTATCCCTTTTTATATTCTCACTGTAACACTAACTAAAGGTCAGATCTTCTTCTTGCTAGCATTCATTACATTTTAACATTTATTTTCTAATAATCTACAATATTTGAAGTCTTCCAATAGAAAAAGATTTAAAAATTGTACAATAAATATATGAGCTTCAAGATCATATTTTAGTGTATTCAGTGTTTTTATGATGCCTGTAGTTTTTGTATGTGGGAATATAAAATAAAAAGTGATATTGAATAAAAGAATCAGGTTTATAACTATAAAAAGTTTTTGTTTCAGTGTGGGTAAGTGTATGGAATGGACCGAATAAGTAAAACAGCTGTCAGAAGCAATCTGTATGTAAATGAAAATGGAACTCAGATCATACATTTAATTTATTGTATATTATGTTTAACATTTTCTGGTGTCTTTTGTTGCTGTGCCTCTCAAAATAGTAACTGAAGGTCTTTGCAAAAATGAAGAAAGATAGAACTTAGATTAGAATGTGGCCAGATGATTTCTTAAATGAAAACAAAAATATATTTTATATGAATTACTCTTTGTACATGACTAATCAAGGTTAGTATTTTACTCTGAAGAATTTGGAGCTATACATTCTGATAGCAGTGTCCTCTTGGGAATAAGAGCCTTGGGCCAGAAGTCAGGGTGGACTCAGAAATACAAGTTTAGATCTGGAAAAAACGGTAGTATGCAGTGGTTAGGAGTGCAGCCCTATGGCCAGCCTGGAGGCCTCAGCAAAGTTGATCAATCATTCTGGGCCTCCAGTTATCACCTATAGAAGAAAGATGTAAGGTCAGCCCACCCAGCGGGCTTTCTGAGCTGAAGTGAGCTAAATGAGCTAATGGTGCAAAAGCAGGACAGCCCCTGTGTCGCAGAGGAAGTGGGCAATATATATTACCATCGCTGTTTCATGCTATCATCCTGATTTTGCCTATAAATTGATGTGGGATTTTACCCAAACCCTTTACCCCTTCCCAGCCCTTGGGTTTCTCCTCTGAAACTAAACATTATAGTACTTGATACCCCTTTACAGAGAAGTGTGGGGAATTTAGAGACACTTAATATATATGCATCTCTTTTTATATGTGGTAGGAGAAATTATAGACATCTAACCCATCGGTGCATTTTGCCTCAAAAGAGTAACAGCTCTTGGTAACTAGGTTAGCAGATGTGTTGTTAGTGGACTCAGGGATCCTAAACATGTAGTCAAATCTCTGATGTTGATGAGTGTATGAGAGAAAGGAGAAAACTAAATGTGTCTGAGATGTAAACTCAGAAAGGTGAGGATGATTCAAATTGGTGCTATTGAATTGTGACTCTGGGTGTGTCTGTGTACTGCTAATGATGTTAAACCATGAAGCCTGTGAGATCTTGTGTTGCAGTGTGGCTTGGCCCTAGAGTCCTTGCATGCTAACCTAAGGTAGAAGATTAGCCTGTTTGCATGCGGCCGGATGCTGCGCCTGCCGTGAAGCATGTTCCGGGAGGTTGCCCCGACCCCTGTGGCTGAACTCTCCCCCAGTCCTGTCTGTGGCCTCATTCACCGTGGTACGTGTGTATAACTCCATCATTCATTTCACTAACCTGAACGACCATCTTCAGTTTAGCTATGTGCTGAAGTGTGCGGTGCACAGATTCACCTAAACCCAGATCTTTCTGATTTCTTTAGATATTAGGTTGAAAAAGCTTGTCGATGAGCGAGAATGCTTATTGGAACAGGTAACAATCCTTTTATCACTTTTTGGGTTCTGAACGGGGCACCTGAAACCACTTTCCTGTCCTTATTTTTTACTTACTCAGAAAACCCCTAAATATACCATAACCAAAAATAATTATCAAGCCGAGTGGTTTTTTTCTTAATATTTTTATCCAAATAGGACATCGTAAATCATATGAGGTTGAGTGAGGATGTCTGAAAGACTCAAAGCTAAATTTGGTATGTTTTACTGAATTGCTGCTTAAAATCCTAGTGTAAAGGTCTAGGTACCCATCGAGAGGCAAGGGTGTTACTAAGTCCGTCCAAACACCATTTCTCTTACCTCTGGTCTATAAGGTCAGTTTTGTTCTCTCTCAGTGCCTCCTTTCTGGCAGGTATTTCTTTTTCTTTCTTTCTTTCTTTTTTTTTTTTGCAGTTTTTGGCCGGGTTTGAACCCACCACCTCCTGTATATGGGGCTAGTGCCCTACTCATTTGAGCCACAGGCACCACCCCTGGCAGGTACTTCTTTACATAGCTGATCAAAGTTGTTTGAACTGTGGTTCAAACCACAGCCCCGGCCAAAACTGTGGATTTTTCTTTATTGGTCTCTCCTACCTCAAGAAATATTAATAACTCAGTTCTCCTAATTCTCCCTCATCAGCCTAAAGAGATGTATTTCCCTGACTTTTTACACGTCCGCTGAAGACTCGGTCGGTTTGGATAAAGCACTGATTATAGTGGGAGTGCTCTCTTGAAGCTCCTGTGATCTATTCAGAACACATATCCACTGGAATTTGTACTTCTGTCCTTAATGTAGCAGGCACTGACGGTGTATACTTAATTAGGGATCTCCTTCCCCCCTAGGAGGAAACACACCAGGCACAGCAGAAAGACTGTGTGTTTCTCTCCTAGAGGGATGAAAGCTGTGTAGATACCCACTTTCCACCTCTGACCAAAGCTCAGCTCAACCTGGCTCTGTGAGAAGGAGCACAGAGATTCTTGTTGGGGATTTTAATTAAGATACACCCAAGCCCAGAAGGCTCCAAGGGCCCCTTTCTGGTTTCTCAGTGAATAAAGAAAGTTTAATAGCACACTGACTTGCTAATCTTAAACATTTGAAGTATTTTATGTACACTGTCCTCCTGAGTCTGGAGGAATTCCAACTTTAGAAATAACTTTTCATCCAGAGACAAAAAATAATTTATGGCTGATATTGTAAAAATTGTTTACTTTTCATTCCTTGTGCATTAAATTGTAGTATTTTCTGGGAAGAGTACTAACTAGCAGATTTTTTGCTTATTTATTTTAGTTTCTTCATAAAAGGGGAGAGATTCCCTGCCTGGCTGGTGGGCTGTAGGGTGGATTGTAACCTTCACCACATTTATCTCAGGGGTAATCACACAGTCCCTGTCTCTTTGACACCCCGGGAACCTTCCATAACCACAGGGAGGTGCCGTTTGCACTTCTGGGGTGTCGGTTTTTGCTTCACATGCTGCTTCCTGTCTGACGGGCTCTAAGTTCAGCTTTTCAGTCTCATTTAGAATAAAGAAATTAACATCTTTTACTGGTGGGTGTTTTCAGATTAAGAAACTCAAAAGGCAGCTGGAGGAGAGACAAAAGAATGGCAAGCCAGATAGTCTTAGACCTGAAGATGTCTTGGAAAATGGGACAGACGTGCATGTAATGGATCTACAAAGTAAGTGTCAACCCCTGTGTGGAAGTTAACTTGTTCACTTGTGCTGAGCGCGTCACACTTGTGCTGGAGAAAAACTGGCATGAAACTGTCCGGGCAAAGCGTGCCCAGTATTCACCTGTGTCTGTCCCCAAAAGCCCATGTATACAAAAGCACAAACATTTCTCTGTGGGGTAGAACAAGGATGGATAGGTGGGCAGAACAAAGTGTTTCTCTCAGAGCCTATGAGTTAGAGCAGGTGCCAAAAAAATATGCACCAAAATATCACCATGTGAAGCACTGATGGAAAAAACCACAGTTATTTTACTGGACGCAGCAGGTTTTAGATCTGCTGATTGCATGAAAAAATTGAAACATATTTTTTATGCCAATGAAGTAGAAATGGACTAAAGGGAGATAAAATTACACAATTTTAAAAGTCTCTCTCTCCCCTGCCCCCCACCCCCCACCCCCAACATTTCTTTATGCGCGAGGGCATAAAGGCACTTTCCCAGCCTGGGTTCACGGGAAGAGAGTGCTTTTCCTCTTCCCAGCTCTGGCAAGCCTGGTGGCCTCGGCCACATCTAACAGATCTGCCAAATGACTACAAAGTAAGGGCTTGGTTCCCAGTAACTATTGTTTTAACATTTTGAAAGCCCAAGAGCTTAACAAATTTTCCTTCTCTTTCAACCTTTAGGGGATGCCAACAGACAGATCAGCGACCTCAAATTTAAACTTGCAAAATCTGAGCAAGAGATAACTGCATTAGAACAAAATGTATGTGTAAACTTGTTAAACAGTACTTGCTAGAAATCTCCCTGAAGGGTTGAGGACAAAAATAAGCAGAGACTTTTAGAACCAAAAAAAGGTCCTGAAAGGAATATGTTAAGACAGCAAGTCTCGAAGTATTTCTTAGAGGGAGACAAGTGGGAAGGAAGGATAATTATGATTCAGGTTGTTATAACAAACATTAATCCTTTATGAACAACGGTTATAGAAAATAGCTAACGTGGCTTAGGGGGTTAAATTCTGTCATTTAAAAATAATTTAGCAATTAAAAAGCACTTCATGCTGGACGCCTCTCTTCCCTGGGTTTCTCTCCCTGCCAGGCCAGCTCTCCCTGGGATGTAGACGTGGGGCTCTCCTGCCCCCAGCACGCTGGGCCCTGGGGCAATGTGCTCTATCCAGAGGGAGAGGAGAAGAC